TTCATTCTGGATCTGGTCCTTCGGTTAATGACCGGTGGGAAAAGAACTCCTTGACGTCGGACGAGCTCTAGGCGATCTAGCCATTCCTTGAGCGGATAAGTACTCTAAAGCAGCAGGGCTTGACCAGCTTTGGAATCATCTTGAGCTTTCTTCGTCGTCGTGTTCAACCTCTGAAGGAGCGAGAGCACTTCGGCTTCGAGTACTCTGGGGCTGAGGATCCTTCACGCATGGTCCTTGCCCTTGAGTTGACCGACGAGGAGGTACTCGAGTGTCTTCAGAAGATGTTGAAAGGAGCAAGCGTAGTCCCGCTTACTGTCTCCGAGTACTGCGCAAGCAACCCGCCTCCAGCTGTGAGTTGTTTTCTCTTTGTGTGGGTACTTTTTGTATTTCTCTTGCTGTATCTATTTTCTGCTTAGACTTCCTTGTCTTGTTGTTTCATTCTTTTTGTAGGAATTGGGGCGTAATTTTGTTGACCCGATTCCCCTTGATGACCTCCCTGTCATTGTGGGGACTGGTGGTAGTCTTGCTGGAGCTTCTTCAACCAGTAAGTTTTCAACTGCCACAATGTTTCCTGGTGTTTCTTCTGTGATTTCTGATGTATATGTGGAGTATGTTCCTCGCCCAGTTCCTCGCGGCCCTCGCAGCGTTGGGAAGAGGGGGCGAGTAGATAGTTCTTCTTCCGGTTTGTCTGCTGCCAAGAAAGCTCACCAATCTAGTACTCGTCTAGGTACTCAAGTTATAGGTAGCATGCTCTTAGGTGAGCATATTAATACGCTCTGTCTTTTTGTTGTTTGTTCTTATCTTTAACCGAGTACTTTTGTTCCTCTTCAGCTGGTTCTTTGGTGGCCCTGGTCGAGAGCGAGGAAGAGGGTGATGATGCGGCCCTTCTTATGCGTCGATGAGTTGTTTTCTTGCTTTCCTGTAATTGAGAACTTCTTTTTGTTCCAACTTTGGTCTTGATCTCTTTGTACTAAGCATTTGTCGGGTACTAGTTCTTCTGGGGCTCCGGCGCCAAGTTCTTCTGGGGCTTCGGTACCGGGTGGGCTCCGGTACCAGCCGCGCCGCTCCTGTCGCAGGGTGGCGGTGATGTTTTTGCCGCCATAGTTCCTCCTGCGAGGTCTTTTTTTGGTTTTATAAAGAAGAAGATAGTTGAGTAAGTTACTCTTTGTTGTGCTTCTTTGCTTTTGCCTTCCTTTTTCCTGACTTGTATTCTTATCTACTAGTTTCTCTATCATCTTGTAGTCCCTCGCCTTCTCTTACTCCTCCGCTCCCCTCTGGTCAGCCTTCTGGTGTGCCCCCGGGTACTGAGTCGAAGGACTCGAAGAGTACAGTTGGTGAGGCGGCTGTGAGGGAGGCTGAGCCCCCTGCTGCTGCTGACCCTGTCGCTCCGGAGGTGACTGTGGTCACGGCGGTGGGTACTTCTGAGGAGGTAGCCGGGGCCTCCCAGGATACAGCCCTGGCCTTGCCTTTTCTGCCTGCGCCAGCTTCTCCCTCAGTTCCCCTTGGTACCAGTGCCTCACGCTTGGATGATGATGTGTTGCATCAGTTTGATGCTACTCATCGGTTGTCTGAGCTGACCGCAGCCTGGGGGAACTTGGCGACCTCTGCGTCTTCTTTTGGGGAAAAGCTCCAGGTTAGTTTTTCTAAAGTTCTTTTCTTGGCAGTTCGTCTTTCTCTTGTCCTTACGCCTTGTTTTTCTCTCTCTCTATTTTCTCAGTCTTTTTCTCGTGATCATACCGGCTTCTTTTTCTCGTCTGAAAATGAGAAAAAGTTGTCTTCCGAGGTAAGTGCTCTAAAAGCAGAGCTTGATCTTTGTCGGGCCGATTTGGAGATTGAGCGCCAAACGCACCAAAAGGAGGAGAAGGCTCTCCGTGCCCGGGTCGTTGAGGCAGAGAAACAGAGGGACGCTGCAGTGGAGTCCGCGAAGAACGAGTGCAAAGGTATTGCATGTTCTTTTTGTTTCCTTTTGTATTCCGACTTCCGTTTCTTCTGACTTGTTTTTTCTCTTTTGTTCTCTGATTTTCCTTTCCGCTGACTTGTTTTTGTTGCCTGGCCTAGCTCTCCGAGTTGAAAAACAGAAGCTCTCGGAGGGTCTTGAGGAAATGAAGACCACCGCCCGCAATAGTCACAACAGGGCTGAGGAGGTAATTACTCGCGCTGAAGAAGAACTCGCGCTTGCCAAACTGATTAGGCGTGGAGCTAACAGAGATCTTGTGCAGGCTCAAAAGACTATTCAAGACTTGTCTGGTAAGTTGGCGATGGCCACTGAGAACTAGAACACTTTGTGGAAATCCTTCCGATCAGTAGCTGACCTTCTCCGGACTACAGCAGATGACGGTCAACCTTGGGCTCAATTCATTCCCCGACTTCCGACCCGTTTCCAGGAGTTTGTGAAGAGTTGCGCCCGTTTATGTACTAGGAATGTTCTTGCCCAGGTCCGGGTTCTTGCTCCGGAGTTCCCCTTGTCTAAGATTGTAGAGGAAACCGAGAGTCAAGAGTACGTGGATGCCGTTGAAAAGGCGGAGCCTGAGGTTGAAAATCTAACCGGTAGGATTGTAAACAATCTTAATATTGATATCCCTTCTCCTGATGATGACGCTTGAATGTAATTGACTTCTGTGCTCCGGCTTTTGTAACAAAATACTTATACTTCTTGAATGAAGATCCTTTATCTTTGTTGATGTCTTCTTTGTTTGGATGTCTAATCCTTGTTTATTCTTTAAATGAGTTGTCCAAGTGATCAGAATTTTCTCCGAGTAGTTACTCTTTCTGACTTTCATCTGCGTTGTGTAAACTACTCGGTGTACGTAGACCGTTGCCTTGACAACTTTTCTTGATTTGCCGAGTGCTTGTCTAGCTTTTCGTCTGTGACTTGTAAACAACTCTGTATAGATCGTTGTTTTGGCGAACTTTGTGTTCTTGTTAGTACTGAAAAGACTTAGGACCGGCGATCTTGAGATTGATAAGTCCCTGAGCACTTCACGGTGGGGTCTTGGAAGCTTCTTCTTGTTCCTTCAAGTCTTGCCGGGCAGGAACAAGTGTTGTCTGAGTACTTTCCTATGCGACACCGTGTAGCGCTTCTTGGGTCTATCTGAGTGTAGCCCCCGAGCCTCTTGCTATTTGGAACAAGTAGCTGGAGGGTCTTGTCTTGAAATCGCTTTGATTTATCCTCGTATATTATACTAAACCGAGAGTAAATTGCTTGTTTGAGGCCCTAAACGAATTCAAATCAAAAAGTGGTCAACTACAAAGTTTCATAACTTTTCGAGATCTACAATTTTCATTTAGGAAGTTTTTCCATCCGAGGTCGTTTGAAAAATTTGAATTTCAAATTTGAGAGATTGAAACGTAGTTTTGCATGATAAGATGATTTCAAATCAAAAAGTTGTCAACTACATAGTTTCATAACTTTTGGAGATCTACAATTTTCATTTAGGAAGTTTTTCCATCCGAGGTCTTTTCAAAAAATTCAAATTTTAAAATTTTCAAATTCAAATGTCGTTTTTGCATGACAAGATGATTTCAAATCAAAATATTGCCAACTACAAAATTTCATAACTTCTCAAGATCTACAAAGTTTATTTTGGTCATTTGTTCATTCGACATAGTGGTAGTAACATTGTTTACAAATCTTATATATCTCTCTTCTACTTTCATGAAACTAATATGAGAGATATGAGAGATGTAGATTTTATGAACAACGTTATTGTCGCTTTGTCAAATGAAGAAATGACCAAAATAAACTTTGTAGATCTTGAAAAGTTATACAACTTTGTAGTTGAAAAGTTTTTGATTTGAATTCATTTAAGGCCTCAAAAATTGTTTTGAAAAACTGATTTGCCGAGGGTAAAAGAATGCACACGGTAAAATGCCTCTTTGTCGAGTGCCAAAACAAAGGCACTCGGCAAAATACATCTTTGCCAAGGGCCAGAAAAAAAGCACTTGGCAAAGACACATTTTGCCGTGTGCCAAAAAAATAGCACTGGGCAAAATACATCTTTGCCGAGTGCCAGAAAAAAGGCACTCGGCAAAGACGCATTTTGCCGTGTGCCGAAAAATAGCACTCAGCAAAATACATCTTTGCCGAGTGCCAGAAAAAGACACTCGGCAAAGACACATTTTGCCGAGTGTATTTTATTTGGCACACGGCAAAGACCGTCTTTACCGAGTGCCTGATAAAATACACTTGGCAAAGTCTCCGGCACTCGGCAAAGTACCGGTTTCTGGTAGTGACACAATGGGGATTGCGGCCACAAAACCCAACATGGGCAAAAGCCATAGACTCGGCCGGACTCCAAGTCTCCAACGCACGTACACGGGGCTGTCCTGTAACTAGCATGAGGAGACAACCCAAACCGAACAAAAGAAAAACCGAGATTGCAGTAACATAGCAGCAGGCAGATTCAAACCATCACGGGACCTCAACAAGGAAACGGTGTTCACTGCACGGAGGAGGAGCTAGCCGACGCCGGCGTAGTGGGTTGGCCCATATGGGGAATCATGGACGACCCCAAGATTGGCCCCATGAAGCTCAGGCCCATAGCCAGCGTGGCGCAGAGGGTGATTTGGGAGGGAAAGGTGGAAGCCCGTGAACAACATCTGGGCCTTGGGGAAGAAGGGCCGAAGTCTGACTTAGCCCATCCAGCTGTTCCGCTTGCGGGCTGATGCGGATCGGCTCAATGCGGAACGCCGTGCCGAGGCCCCCAGGATTGCCGACGTGGAGATCGTCAGGGATCCATCGCGTGTATGGGCAGGGAGGGTGCGTGGTGGCGGTGCAGTGGTCAGCCGGGCGTGGCGCACGCAGGCAGCGGCCGGAAGCTGGGGCCTCAACAAGAAGAAAGATGAAGGAGCTGAGCTTTTTTGTTCGTCGTTCAGTGACCCAGAGAAGAGTTGTTCACTGCGCCAAGCCCAAACAACACACGGCCATATTTCTCGGCTGACCCGTTGAAGAAGCCCTAACGAAGCTCATTATATTGAAGCAAGTTGCTGTCAGAAACGAATCAGAGCCTGCCTTGTGGCAGATTCGAGCGGAACTTGACATCAAGAATAATATTGGCAAGATCATCAGGCCCGCTGTCGGCGACACCGCAGAACTTCATCAGGTGCTTGATGTCGTACATGCTAGGGAAGTATATGTTGACGAGATCGGAAAATCCGGACATCGTGTCAGGCAGGCTTCCATTGGTGAGCAACTTGAGCAGGTTGCCCACACCGTTGCGACCATCGAACGTCACCCACGCTCGGCAAAGCGTCGTGGATCGACTCCCTCTGTGGCGTGGCGGGTGAAGTCGATCCCACTGTGGCGGAGCAGCTCGATGTGGTCCGCATCCGCGACGTCGGTCCCTCGACCCACGGAAGTTGAACTGCCAGGCGCAGGGGCGGCATCTGTCGTCCGGCTCAATCATCGGCTGTGTTGCCTGCTCGTCCGAGAAGGTGAGACCAATCTGGATGAACTTAAGTACATCGACATTGGCCTCCGTGGTGGCGTAGTTGTACTCGGCCAGCGACTTGCTCAGCAGCTCAGGACGGAGAGGGCGGTGCACCATGTACGCCGGGGTGCTGCACGTCCACGGGGACGTAAGGGTAGTCATCGATGATGTCTCGGATCTTGGCGAACCCGTCCTAGGGGATGGCTGCGCACACCTCGCGGATTCAACTGGCAGCAGGTCTTCAGGCCGCGTCGCCATGGCCTACGACTACTTGTGTAGGAAACGGTTGGGCTCAGAATCAGATTCAGAGGGTAGGGTTCAGCGACGATGGGTGGGAGCTTTCGTGGGAGGGCCATTCGGAGTAATAGATAAGACAATTAGGCAGCTTGGCGCATACATACAATCAGTAAAAGATGCGAACCAGCGGATCGAAACCATCGAACCCGTGCTTCTCGTACGTGCAACACAATCTGCAAGAGAGAACTCCAGCAGCAAAACTATGCACATCCTCGAAACAGGGGGAAAAAAAAGAAACCCGATCGCGTGGCGGCAAATATCTCACAAGTGTCGAAGGTGGATAATTATTAATACAATGTTCTGCATCTTAAGGTTTTGAGAGTACACACAGCAACGACTTGAAGACAAATCTTCCCGTTATTATTACAGGGTTTTTGATGGCACGCAGATGCATATGTCTACGTACATTATTACTCGACTCAAAACACAGTTGTTACGAATTATAAATATGTTGTAGCCCCACACCAAGACATAACACACCTGAGTCAACTAAACTGAAACACTGGACTCAGAAGCCTTTGCGAATTTCTCCATGAAAAAAGATTATATTAGGATGCTCTGGATGGTCACTTCACTGGCACTGATTATGTAAACTGATGGATTATTGATACGACTAGTGTATTGGCTCCTCCACTTCTGTTTCAGACGCCGAGGCTTCTGAGACCTCCACCTCCTCGTCGGTTACCTCATTTTCATCTTCCTTCCAGATAGTGAAGCTGCTGAGACCTCCTCCTCTGCTGTATCGTACAATAAGGCTTCTGAGACATCCTCGTCAGTCACCTCATCCTTGGAATGAATATGTAGTATTTATATATGGTTCTCGAAAAGAAAGGGCGTCAGTCACTTTTACAACCAACTGTCATGTTAAAAATTAATGTTCTTGCGTACTCAAACATATAGTCCGTACGTGACAACAGTAACAAGTATATACTTAACTGTATCTATTTTCTTAGAAAAGTGATAATAATTACTTCATATGTACAGTAGCACAGGCGGATGAAATTAAACAAGGAAGCTAGGACGCCCTGGACGAAATTTAATTGTCCTACTAATTCTAAAAATCAAGGGCTATGATTTTCTTCGCATATTGTTACTATATATAATAATAATATAGTAATGGAGAAGCTATGATTTTCTTCGCATATTGTTACTATATATAATAATAATATAGTAATGGAGAAGTAGTACGTGTTAGTGCCTTTGTGGAATGGGGAATGGAATGTGGTTATTAAACAAGTTAGGTAGCTGGTACGTACCTCTTCATCGTCGCTGTGTATTGGTCGTGCCATCATATCTTCATCATCTTTGAATAGGTTGAATATGAGTGCGGAACTATTGGGATGGAGTTGTGCTTGGCGCCTGAGCTCAGCCTCTGCCTTGTCCACGTCATCAGGGAAGGCATCCTCACAGTCAAGACATGCCTCGACATAGCGTAACGAAGGGAGGCACTCCAAGTCCAAGCCGAGATTATTGTCACAGGTAGCGTGTCCATCCTTGTAGAAAGCCCTGACTGGGACAGTGAACCAAAGGTCGTGGAGGTTTGGCATCACAGCAACAGGGGCCGGTGCTACTCTGCTGCTGCAGCCCCCGTCCTCTACTTTGGAATCAAATACCATACCTGCATCCTGTCCTCCCCTCCAGATGCTAAGCGAAGCACTAGTGGAGTCACCGTTGGTCTCCAGCTGGACCATCCATCCATCCAACCAGAGGCCTTCTAACTTGGGGAAGAAGACATCATGGGCAGCAATATTAACTACCGTAGCCTGCTTATGAGAAGCCATCCAAAGATCATGAATATGGAGGAAACGGAGTTCTGGCAGCCCACCCAAGGCTCTCAGACCTGCCTCGTCCATATGACGCACATACAACCACAAGTAGCAAAGGTTGGGGAGAAGCGTGGAATCTATGAATGATGGCACACAAGGGAACCAGATGTTTTGTATAAGCAGATGCCTGAGATGCTCCGAAAGCACGACTTTGTCCCACTCTGTTGAGGCAGGGCTACTTTCATGGAACTCAAAACCATGCACATGCAGATGCTGGAGCTCCTGCAGATTGCCTAGTGACTTCAAAAGTTCTGCCTGCGCGCTCTCATCCAGCCCGCCTATGCCAAACACATGGAGCACCCTCAGTAGGCTCGGGTTGCCCAGCTCCTTCAAAAATTGCCTCTTGGACTCAATAGATAGCATACAAACACTTATCCGTAGCTCCTCCAGTGACGTCACCTTCAGGAGGAATCCATCGGGCACCTTCGTGTGGTCGTCACATCTTATGCAGACCAACCTTGTTAGCAGGCTAACGCTCGATGGCAGTTGGACTTGCATACCATGTCCTCTAATACATTCCAAGTCCAATGTCTGTAGAAGCTTTAGAGCTCCTATCGCCTCCGGGAGCTCCCTGACCTTTGTACCTCGTAGTCCAAGGTACCTCAGATGAACTAGTTTCCCAAGATGCTCGAGCCAGCGCCTGTCATACTCATCATTTTTAGATGATGTGCACCTCTCTAAAGCTAGCACACGTAAGAGTTTAAAGCTCGGATGCAAGACAAGACCACAAATATCACACCCATGGGCAACCAATGACCTCAGTTGTGTCATGTCCCTATGACCGTCGGGATGGGATTGATCCAGCAATATCCTGTTCTGGTGTGCTATCCGGCGCACCTTGTGTCGTGATGATGTTACTCCATCCTCATTTGAGATAGTGATGAAGTTTTCTTCGCCTGCCAGACCACGAATAAGATCAAGGACCATGTCATGAACACAGCAGCAATGTATGATGCCTTCCTCTTCTGACTCTACCCCTTGGATCATGTTTCTGTTTATGAGCTGATGCAAGTATTCCTCTCCCCGCTGAAACAGGCTTGTTCCTGTTTTCTTCTCTATAAAGCCTTCTGCTACCCATTTCCATATCAAAGAATCTTTCTCGATCTCATAGTCTTCGGGATACACACTTAAGTACAGTAAGCAGGTCTTCAGATGAGAAGGCAGATCATAGTAGCTAAGGGACAATATCCACACAGTATCATCTACTTGCTTGTTCTCTCTGCCACGATAGACACCAGGAGAGCTGCAGACCTGAAACCAATCCTCTCTTGATTTGCCCACCAACAAGCTAGCCATTGTGATGATAGCTAATGGCACACCGCCACATTTGTCCAGAATTTTTTGGGATGCCTCTTCAGGATGATGAGCAGGACATTTGTCTTCACCGCCATATAGCCTCATATAAAATAGCTTCTTTGAGTTATCATGTGAAAGAGGGCCAAGCTTGTAAACTTCATCGCCACAGGCTACTTCAAGATTTCGAGTAGTTTTAACTACTCTACTTCCGTTATTGTTCCGATGCAAAGCTGATCCTATTGCTTGCCAGGAATTTATGTCCCATACGTCGTCAATAACGATGAAGTACCTACCAAAAAGACAGTACAAATGAATAGGCAGAGTTAGTAAACCTTGGAGCATCTATCGTCTATACTATACAAAGGAGAAGAAGAGCGGCACTACATCTGTACTATACGAGGATTGAATATGGGTGATGTCTCACTTTTATTTAGTCTTTGAAAATTACATACTAGTGGCACTTTATAGATTTTTAGACAAAGGATGAAAATCCGGATTCCTCTACTCAAGGTAGAATTGCCTAGCAAAAAAGGAGTATTGTGCCACAACTGCAGCTTTGATTCATAATGAAAAAAAACAAACATCTTAGATTTGTTTATCAAATATAAATTCCCTAGCAAGAAGTATTAATTGTACCACAACTGCATCATCGATACATAATGAGAAAGAAACATCTTCAAATTAAATGGTAAACGTATGTATACTCCCCAATAGTATGTACACAGCACAAGCCGTGTAGCATATATATATATATATATATATATATATATATATATATATATATATATATATAATCATAAATTGAAACAGAGAAACTATAGATAATCTGGTGACAACTGATTAATGCATACCTCTTGTTTTCAAGGAATTCTCGGAGTTCGCCAATGAGCAGTTGTAGGTCCTTTACACCACGAATGGCCTGGTACATTTTTTGGTCGAGACGAAAGAAGATGCTGGTGAAGACTTGCACTAGGTCAGGATTGCGGCCAACCGAAACAAAGGCTCGACAATCATATCCCGGACCCGGACTCAGCTCGTCGTAAACCGCCTTGGCAAGAGTGGTCTTGCCCAGACCACCAGCTCCGACCACAGAAACTATCTTGGTCCGGTTGCTGCTGCTGGAGGCGCCAGCATCTCCATGCCCGTGGGTCGATGACTGAAGCATGGCTATGAGCTCCGCCCTCGTCCTCTCGATGCCGATAATCTGTGCTGCCTCTTTGTGCATGTCCACAAGGCGAGGATCCAGTTTGGTGGCCGGCGCGGGCACTGCAACGGGTATGGAGTACCTCTCGCGGCGGTCCCACACCTCCTGTAGTCGTTTCTTCATGTCCTCGATCGCGCTGGCGATGTCGTGGCGTGCCTTGCTCTCCTTCAACAACTTGGCCATCTTCTTGAGACGTTTAAGCAAGCCTTTCTTGCTTTTAGTCTCAGCAGGGGCGGCCCCCTCCACGACATCGACGAGGAAGGCGTCGAGGATGTCCTCCATGTCGTAGGACGCCTCTCTGACGTCGCCAGCCCACAGCCGGACCTGTCGATCTAGATGCTCTGGCGGCGTCTCGCCCACCTTGCAGAGAGCCGTGTGCGCACTCTCGAGCTCATTTTTCAGATACTCGATTTGCTCCGGCAGGCCCTTCTGCAGCTTGTACTCCCCGTGCAGGAGCTCGCCGAGCTTGGTGAGGATGCTGCCCACTGCCCCGGCCACAAGATCCATGCCGACGCCAGGATGGAAGACTGGTGAGGTTGAAGATTCCGCACTTGCTGAAGCTAAGGGATGAATAGTAGAGACGTGAGTAATTATTGGTGCAGTGCAGTGGAGACGGTGGCGATATGTCACCTTGCTTGCTAGGAGAGGAGGAAAGCAGAGCTAGGCGAGCAAGCCCGTCTTTAAAGGGTCCAATAGCAAACGCTTGTTTGATAGATCAATACTTATTTTCTAGAAAAAAAGCCTTCTATTCAACATTAGCGGTAGTAGCCTTACTACCCGGCAAGAGGCAATAAAATATTTCAGTCCCCTCGTTTCCATCCTCACAACTAGAGATAAGGTGCTGTTTTTTTTTGGCGGCTCCTACCTAGCTTCCGGATGGATAATGTGAGGAGGGTGAGGATCACTGCTTCCGCCTGTACTCGGGTCCACACTTTTGCCGGACTCGGCAAGATACATTGCATATGCTCTTATCTTTCCTCTCCCTCCCACTTTTGCAGGAGGGCGGTGACGCAGAACCACACTCACCCTTCAATTGCCCGCTCGTGCGTTACCCGGCGACGGCACGACGTCACGCTCCCGCTCATGCCCGTTCCCGCGTGACGCACCGACAACGGCACGGTGACGCCATCCCGGCATAGCACCTCAGCTGCGGCGCGCTCCCGCCCGGATCTAGACGGCGGCCCGGATGTCAGTGATGGGAAGAAGAGGAAAGGGGAGATTGAGATTAACCGGTGGTTTGCTCCCCTATAATTGAGGGATTGAGGCAAGATTTTGAGGGATTGAAAAGAAATTTAGAGAAACCGTATTGAAAAGGGGATCTGCTGGAGTATGTTTATTTTTGCTTCAATCCCCAATATTACTGGTTTTAGGAAAAGAGATAATCAATCTTGTGGATACGCTCTAAGCATATACCATCTGTGACAACCCGTAAAGAGTGACCTTCTGGCTTTTGTCAAAAATCAAAATATCTTACTTACTCCGTATGTTTGAACAAGTTTGTAAAAGAGATTGTCAATATTTAGAACACCATGTGGTTTCGCTGGAGAACGGCGGGCCGAAAAGGATGCAAATAATAATGTAAGAAATATGTATTAGAAAGTAGAAACCACTGACCAAATGGACACATGACAACTTTTAAAGGCATGATTATTAGATTTTCTTAAAAAAAATCCTGCAAAACTGTAGACTATACAATTGTGAAAAAACACATGTAACTGCCCAAATTAAAATAAATTCCATGACACGACAACCGTGACAACGTTCGTCACTACAATTTAAATACATCAATAATACAGTAGCCAAGATCATAGCAACGAAGTGAATGAAAGTGCTAGCTTCACCAGTTGGAGAAATTCCGCAAAGCAAACTGGACCCCCGATGGAGCTCTTGAACATGGGCAGGCATGCATGCATGCGGAGGCACACGAAAACCAAATTTAAGCCTCATTTAACATAAACACACATATCATTTATGTTCCAAACATACTTGCAGGTACGCCAACAATAAGTGCTAGAGCGAAATGAAATATACTAAACAACATGCATGATCGTCGTCGATCAGCATTATTAGAGGTTTAAAGCACGCAAAGGTCCATCAAGAGCACACAGAGATATGTGACCGTGTAGTAGGCTGACACCAGCTCCATGCATGCGGCAATATAGGGGACAGCAGACAGGAGTACCAAAATGCTCCCAACGTCCTGAGATCCACCAACTTAAGCCGCAAACTCCTAATTTTGATTAGCATTATCAGTCTAGCATTGATGATTCATGAAGGTAAATGGAAATGATGGATGAAGTCGGCTCGAACAATCAACAACAGACTACGGTACTTCAGAGTGTGTGTGAACCGTTGATCTAATTGTAAATTATTACATATTACCTGTTCTTATAAGAGGTAGTAGAAGAAACACAGAATAAATAGAGAAAACGTCTACTTATTAGATAGATCTAATATACATGCACGCATGATCTAACTTTGGTATTTGATGCAATAATGTGACATGTGGATGAGATATAAAGTATCTTGCTTTACTAACATGTTCTTTTCTTGTAACTTGACAAATAAAGATCAAGAGTGATATACCTGTAAAATTAATTTTTTAAATGTGGAACGACTAACGTTATCCATAATGATCTTTTCAACATGAGTAGATCCATTTTTAACAGCAAAATCATGTTGATGGTATACGTGATTTATTTGTCACTAGCCATAGCACAACACTTTTGAAACTAACATCATGTTAAAAATTAATGTTCTTGCGTACTCAAACATATAGTCCGTACGTGACAACAGTAACAAGTATATACTTAACTGTATCTATTTTCTTAGAAAAGTGATAATAATTACTTCATATGTACAGTAGCACAGGCAGATGAAATTCAACAAGGAAGCTAGGACGCCCTGGACAAAATTTAATTGTCCTACTAATTCTAAAAATCAAGGGCTATGATTTTCTGGGCATATTGTTACTATAATAATAATATAGTAATGGAGAAGTAGTACGTGTTAGTGCCTTAGTGGAATGGGGAATGGAATGTGGTTATTAAAACAAGTTGGGCAGCTGGTACGTACCTCTTCATCGTCGCTGGGTACTAGTTGTGCCATCATATCTTCATTATCTTTGAATACGTAGAATATGAGTTGTGCTTGACGCCTGAGCTCAGTGTCTGCCTTGTCAACGTCATCAGCCAAGGCATCCTTGCAGTCGAGACGTGCCACGACATAGCGTAGCGAAGGGAGGCACTCCAAGTCCAAGCCGAGATTGTCACTCCGGGAGAGAATATTTTTCGCGGAGAAGCAGTAGATGAGGCAAATGAAAGCGAGAGAATATAAGGGGGCTGATGAGCTCGCGCAAGCCATCGTTGGAGCTTGGCAAGAAAACAATGCTTCTCATATTGTGCACTGTGAGATCCAATCCCTTTGGATTGGATGTCTATACTCAGTGACGGAGCTCGCAGCAAAATATCGGGGGAGGCCTAATATAAGCCATTTTGCCTAATCGATTTGGCTTCCAGAAATTAGAAAATTGGACGCAAAGAACAAATCACTACAAAACAATCAAACAAAATTATTTTATTCTTGAGAGTAGATCGTGAGTGTCCAAGCCTAGCAAACCAGATCACCAATCAGGCACTCACCAGGGTGGATCGGTCTCGGGATTTGAGTCTGGGAGCAGAGCAACCGGGGAGAAAGCCGGGCAGCAGCTACGAGCCGACGACGACATCGACGCACGCGGCTTCGGACTTCGCCAATCGCCACTCCGGAAGGCGGAGCGGACGATGACGCGACGAGCGGAGTGGCCCTAGGGAAGTGGAGCGATGGACGGCTGGGCTTTGCTGGCTTGCTGCGGTTCGGAAGTCCACGAGTCATGAGACAAGCAGAGCAGCAAGCTGTAACTTTTGGGTCTCCAGAGTCAAATTTTGCATGGGTCATTGACTGATTACTGAATCGCTAAACAATTTTCTGAGGCAAGGCGGGGCCACAGCCCACGTTGGCCGACGTGTAGCTCCGCCTATGTCTATACTATACATATATGGGAGGTAACTCTGCCTTTTGCTTATTGACTGGCTCGGTTGGGATGACCGTGACTTCGAGTCAAGAGATGAGCTAGTCAAACTCGTAGTCTATGGTTCACATCTCTACCGCTGTTTCTCTACAACAATAATTGGGACTGTTCAATGCAGGCTTCCTTCATCGTCAATTTGCTACCCGTGACAACTATTTGCGTGTCCCACTGGCAGACCCACGGAACACCTGCTCATCAAGACCTCAGCTCTTTTATTTGCCCATTAAAATTTTGAAATAATCTCGAATAGAGAAATGAGCCAAACTAAAGTTGTGCAATTTTGTACATCAGCCGGCCTCCTCGTAGCTAGAATGAGGAGACGAGGACGATGAACAACTCGCCTCACGGGGTCGTCTCCTCTGCATGCTGCCTGCTTGGTGGTTGCCAGTAATAAGTAATTCAAGGCTGCATGCACAAAGGACGATGGGTCTCAAACTCTCAATTCATTTGCTCCACTAAACATCGTATATTATGCTAGTGGTGACGAGACACTGTACGACAGTTCCATGATTGAGAAAAAGGGCATTAATGTTTATACTGTCTACATGCATGGTTCATTCAAGCGTTCACGATGGTGATCAATAATCCTGGGCGTTGGAAGCTTGGCGCAGGCACACTGTAATAAGGCGAGTCTCAACGGGAGTTTCATTCTTATTTATTGCCGTGACACATTAGTAAACTTGCTGAGTTGGAAGGTTAATTATGAAGAGAGAGAGAGAGTTGGATAGAGTTTCATCTAGATGAAACCCATTGTCACAGTTACCAACATAAAAGCTGACATGGCAGTCTTGGTAACTGTGTGATGAAACTCTAAATTAAGACTGGCCTAATGCGAGGCCAGGTCTACGGGCTGCAGTATAGTTCACGAGGGTAGGGGATGCCACTAACACTAGACCCCAAGGGTCCTGTCTAGGAGAGCTTCAGCTCTGAAAACACGGATCTAGATGAGTAGCTTCACCGTGGATCTAACTTCCCACTATGGAGCTAATTAACAAACCTATTTAGCTTGCAACGCGGCTCTAGTTGCAGAAAATGCAAGTTTTAGTGGGAATCTATCGTTACTTATGCCCTTAGGATGTTACATAATTGAAGTCTTTTATTCCTTCCAATTTTATCAATCCAATAAAACAAAGCTCTGAAGATATGTCGAGAAACGTACAAACGAAACAGAAAGCTACAAATAATTGGTGTCATACTTTTACATTTTTTCTGCATGGTCAGCACACGAAACAGAAAGTACGTACAACAAATGAAATAAGCATTATTTAGTGTTTTTTCAGGTTAACGTAACGATCAGGCAGCGAACAATAACACGGATCATACGTGACACATGCAGTATGTATACCCAAAGACTTGACTTGTTGCTCCGGCAGTGGCGGGAACCAATCAGCAGAGGGGGACCCCCACTACGTAAAAAACAATTTTTAGCAACAGTTTA